ATAGGTGGAGAAGCGCGCTGTGAAGGGAAAAGTTAGGATTTTCAGTGGAAGGATAAGGTAGTCGCAGCGAAACTACTACCGCTCGCCGTGAGAATACGGGTACAAATATCGCCACCGCATTTATGAAATCTAGTCTTGTGAATGAATCAATTCCAGCCATGTGTAGAGCAAGGATGCAAAATGTGCTGCTTGGGCACAGAACACCATGTGTAGCTAATGTTATTCATAATCAGAGGTTTGCTCATTTGATTTTAGCCGGTTACATTCTTCTCATGCCTTGATTTCATTGAATCATTGTTACTCCACCAGTCTCACGGTTTCTAACTTATTGTATGTGTCAGGATAAGCTACATTCCTTGCAGTTATAAGAAAGCTTGACAGTATGATCCTACCCCTTGCCGTTGCTCTAATACAGACTGAGGCAGTAGCTTACATGGTGTTCCACAAATTCGAGCAAATAGTTTAGAACAGCGACATAACCATGCTAAACTGCATTGATTATGAATAATAACTAATTGATCTCATTTTTTCGACTTACAAGGGCCACTGGTAATCGAAAGGTGTAAAATTGACTCAACGAAGAAGATTACGCAATTTGTCTCATATACAAAAAGTTACGAAATGCTCAAACAAGCTGCAGAGTAAATTTATCCACGCTCCAGAGCCATCTGCTATCGCCCCATTTCATGTTTGTGGTCACTCCATTTTGCATGTTTCCTATTATATGCTGCTGAAGCTACGGATCTCCTTCTCCTTCTCTCTCACTGAAGGATCCCCAGCCGGTTAGTGACGAGGCTACGTTGGGCGTCCCCAGGTGGCGGATAGGCGAATTAATCGCCGACCAAAAGTAACCGGTACTTGCCCGGGTGTGGTGCGATTCACGCGTCAATATAATGAGGTCATCGGACAAAAAGCGCTAAAACATCATGGCTACCGTCATAACGGAAGAAATAAGAGGTTATAAATAGTATAAGCAAAGAAATGACCAACTATGCACGTTTACAGAAAGTCTGCATTACTAGGATCAAAAAATTTGGAGGTATTCTTATTTTGAACGTTTGACAGGTGAATTGTTGACCTATGAGGTGAATTCTCAATTTCGAAGGGGCTTTTTTGCCATAGTAGAGAGATTTGTTCTATTTATGGTGAAGTCGTGGACTCCTGCGAATTATTTGATTCATCTCAACAGAAAGGTACTGAAACAATGCTGCGTGCGCGAAGAGCTCTAATGCGGTCACGCGTGAATCGCACGCCCCCCGTACTTGCCCAGAGACGCAGGCGGATTCAGGGGATGGACTCCTTGATTCTGCTAAGCTGAGTCGATATAACCCCTGTTCCTCGCAGGCGAGCCACGCATACGTGTGTGGAGAGTCTGTGGGTGCAGTTGGTATCCTGCCCATCGACTCGGCCAAAAGCTTGCTTTCGAGTAACTGGGAAGTATCTTGGAGGCGATCCAGATCCGCCTCCAAAAACAAAGCCCTCGTCTACTTCGGGATAGCCTGGCAAGCCCCCGGAGTCACCCAACCCCCACGTCAGAGCATGGCAAGCTGCACGTTGGGTATCTTCACGCCGAAACCCCCAATACGGAAAGCATTTCACCATTCTACAAGGAGGTCATTATCAACGTGAAAAGAGGTGTCCGGCAGAGCGATACCATATCGCCCAAACTTTTCAGTGCCGCTCTCGAGAATATCATGCGTCATTTGGAATGGGAAGACCTGGGAGTGAAGGTTGACGGCCGCTATCTACATCACCTCCGCTTTGCAGACGACATCGTGCTCATAACACCGAGCATCGAGCAGGCGGAACGAGTGCTGGCCGAGTTTGACAGTGCTTTTGGAAAGATCGGATTGAGACTGGACCTAACGAAGACGATGTTCATGAAAAACGGATTGGTACCTGATGCTCCCTTCACGCTAAACGGGAAGCTTTCTCCGAACGCTCTAGCTATGTGTATCTAGGTCGGGAAGTCAACATGATGAACGACCTAGCTCCGGAGCTGTGCAGAAGGAAGCGCGTCGCGTGGGGAGCATTTAAGAATATTGAGGGAGTAGAGAAGAAGACAAAGAACATCCGGCTCCTCGCTCACCTTTTCGACACTGCTGTTCTTCCTGCTTTAACGTACGCCTCAGAGACGTGGACTCTACGAAAGCAGGATGAACATGCTGTCAGCGTTGCTCAACGTGCTTTGGAAAGGACGATGTTCGGAATTTCCCTGTACACGCAGGTGCAGAAGGGAATTCGGAGTTCTGAGCTCCGTCAACGAACGAAGATCAGGGATGCGTCGACTACGCCAAGAAATCGAAGATCAGGTGGGCCGGACACGTTATGCGATATAATGATGACCGATGGACCAGGGCGGTTACGGACTGGATCCCTCGGGACGTCAAGCGAACACCAGGACGGCCGCCAACGAGATGGTCAGACTTCTTCACGAAAGCTCTGAACGAAAGGAATGTATTGCCCCGTGTCCCTCGAGCGAGTGCGATTCACTGGACTACTCTGGCTCGCGACAGGGACGAATGGAGACGTTACTGGCGCCCGCTCGAGGAAATCGACGATCAACGGGACGACAGGTGATGCACATGATGCTGCTGAGGCAACGCCTACCGTCGCGCACGGCACTGCCGCTTCATTGCTCATTGGGGACCGCACATAAACACGCATAGACTGGATGGCGTACTGCTTTGGAGGTGCTGTAAAGTATAATGCATAGAAATTTTGGTTCTAACAGACAAGACAAACCGTAGTCACTGTACTTTACTGCGAGAGCTCCCTTCGATCTACAAGCTTTCCTTCGACGGGTATATCAAGCTTTTAATCTGTCTGAGTATTAGGTTCTCTAGTGCTGGAGTAGAGAGGGTGGGTTCTATAAAAATATATTAATTCGTTTGTAATGAATGTTGCGTGGTTGTTAATTTCAGAAATGACGTTTTTCCCATTTTCCATCGATAATCTAGCTAATTATTTGCTATATATTCCACTTGTACTTGAAGGAACCCTTTAGAGATGATATGTGTCTCTCATCCCAGTCTTTAAAGCCACTCAACTACTCCCGTCTCGCAAGTGGGAGCAGAAAGCTCGATTGATCTGTTTTTTCCAAAAATACTGTCGACATATCGAAATTTTCATCTACCACTACAGTGACAAAAAAGAACAGGTCATAAGTATACATCATGGGATCGACGGAAAACTTTACAGTCAAGGAACCTGCTATGAAAACAATCAACCTGGCGGGCTTGATGTTTACGTGCTAGTTCACTCGTAACTTTCAATTCTCGTTTGATTCAACGGAGCAGAGCATGCCACCAGTCACCTATCTCATGGGCATTTTGTTTTTTTTTGTACCATTTTCTTGATTCTATAGACTAGCTTTTACGCTTCTTCAGTACCTTTGTTTCATTTAGCTAGTATAAGAACCCGGGTACTTTGCACCGACTTTATATGCGGGCTCCTCCCTCTTACGCTCTGGATACTCCAGATTAGATGGAGAAATATCTTTGCCTTGTTATATCATAAGTTATGCTCCCTCCGCAAAGAAAATGACAATATGGTATATTAGCCAAGTTTCCTGATCTACTGTTCTAAGGACTCTACACTATACGTTAGCTGGAGTGGGTCATCACTTTCTATCATTTCCTCCTGATAGATGTACTACATTAATCGGAAGCCTTGAGGCAAAAGCTTACAGGCATCGCCACTTTTCTGCAAAAATCGCCATCACCATGGGACGACAACCATATTCTAGCAAGGCTCAAACTATCAACAGTAATATTCAAATAGTGTTCCTTCGTTTCTCTTGTAAATCATGTCCCCACGATCGTCGATAGGCAACGTCGTCCCATCGTCTTCTGAAAACGGCGAAGCGGCTCTGACTCCAACATCAACGCATGCAATCGGAGTGCACTTCGTCAGCCACGTGCCAACTATTTGCTTGCTTTCTTTTTACATATACAACGCTCGATGATACGACTTACAGATGGCACTGCTATAGAGCATGACAATTTTCCAGCGAGTAAAGAAGAGGCAGTAGGCTACGAATGGGAACTGGCAAAGTTCTTGTGCACGATTAGTGCAACATCGTTCAACGTTTTCAGCAATACAGGAAAGTTACTGCTCGATAACTCCTCACCATCTGACCGACGATTTCTGAAACACGCGTGTCTCAATCAGCCGTTGCTTTTCTCGCCTCTATTCAGAAGAAGCTTTTGAATAATCTGAAAAAGGATGGCGGTGAGGCTGGACCCTCTTATGACAAAGAAAACCATTTGTTCCTTGTTGGAGAAAAGCTATAAGTCTGTGGCGTAAGCCTGAGCCGCAAAAAACTGTGGGAGGGTGTTGCTTGCTTCTCGAACTCCAACATCAACGCTTGCAAACACAAATCGCATCAACCACAAGTTCCTCCTTCAAAGCCCGAAAGTCAGGCTATCATCTACTACACCCATCTTCAAAGACATGCCCATATGTATAATCGGAGAAAAGCGACGGAGAGGTGTTTCTGATCATCTTTNGCATGGAAGTGCCCGGCATCACATGGCAAACACCGCGCACATGGTTACAGAGTCTTCTCCATATTCTCCATTCCCCTGACCTCGCCGTTCTGGCTTCATCCTCTCCAGGCACCTCGAATATTTCCCGATTAAAAAGAAGTTTGCCGCTTTTGCTAATCTCAAAAATGCTACTTCCAACTTCTTTGATTCTCAGTCTTCCTTTAGTTCCTTAAAAGATTGGAGTAGCCGAATTGCCCGCTCTTTAATTGAAAGTCTTAAATAATGTAGTTGGGTTGTATGGTCCAATAAAAGGGAGTTTAGAAGGAATATAAAAAAAGAATCTAAGCATCTGAATGCCTTAATGAGTTTTGCATCAATCTGAAATGTTCTTCAAATCAAATGGGTCCTCGTTATGTCCATCACCCTTTTCATCACAGGCTTTCAACATTCTCCCGCTACAACTTTATTTACATTCTAGAATATTTTCAGAAACGATGCGAATGCTTTGTGTAAGTATCTTCCTGCTGCTTGTCAGCGTAATTTTCGCTTCGGCCGTAACATTACAGAAATTTGAACTACATGACAGGTGAGATAGTTGGGGTATGGCTATAGAAACCTCAGGCGAAGGCGTTCGTTGATAATCTGTGTTTTTTTCGAGACCTTCTTCAGGCATTCGCGACAGAAACGTCAGTTTGGATTTGGCCGTCCTTTCGGTTATGGTCGCCCATATGGTCCTGGTTTTGGTCGACCACTGTATGGAGGATTCGGTCGTCCATATGGTTTATATGGTCGTTAAAACGCATAGCCCAGACAAGACTCACATGTGCATTGTAGTCACCATCACTTGCTCTCCTTCGATCATTCATGAAAAATACCTCCGCTCCGCAACTGATTCTCGTTGTGTACAGTTCAAAATCTGTTTATATTCGTTTTGTGAAGAGATATAGTGAAGGAAATGAAGCTATCAAAGAATACACTTTCATATATCATTTCGCG